CGCAGGTGTTTGATGCTTGTGCACAGTTTGAAGAATTAAGTTTGAGTAAGAGAATGGAGGAAGCAGCAGGAAATCTAAATCCAACAGAAGAAGGTAAAGATCAAGGAATTGGTTTAAGTTAGCATATTCAGGCCGACAGCAAGGAACTTTCAATGTAAAACTACCAAAACTATAATATTGTTTGACAGATAAGTATAGCATGTGTCAATTTGTCTTAAGAAATTGTGAAATAATCAGGTGATGATGAACAGATTTGCTAGTTGTGCTATGTATGTACGTACACACACATATTGTCCGCGAGGCACGAGAGTAGACTTGGCCTTGTCAGCCGTTGCTTGTGTGGCAGGGGGAAAGTGGATTCTGCCCATGCGCTGGTGTTGTATTCCTTACCTAAGAACATTGTGCTATCTGTCAGTCAGTACATTAGCTCACGACATACTGCCTGTATAAGCTGCGGTGTTTTTTGGTCCGCTAGTAGCACAGAATTCTACCCCACCTCCCTCAGAGATGTCAGGTCTACTCTCGTGGCTCGCGGACAATACACACACACGCATATATACTGCGCTAAGTGTATGAGCCAACTCTCATTGAGCTTCATTTACAGATGACATTGACCTAGAGCTGCTGCTGGCTCGATTTGAACATCTCATAGAACGAAGGCCACTGCTTCTCAATTCTGTGCTGTTGCGACAGAACCCACATAATGTACAAGAATGGCACAATAGAGTCTTATTATATGAGGGGAAGCCACATGAGGTAATATCAGATTTTCTTTTCCTTAATTCGTTATTGTCGTCATCACACCAGATATGGCATGTGGTAACAGTGATTCAATGGCAAGGGTCTGATGGAATTTGAGAAACAAGCATTGTTTTGGAAATACTCTAACTGCTGATTTTTAGGTTTTTGGTTAAGCCTTATCAACTACTAAGCCACCGTTGTTACAGAATTGTACTGCAACAGCAATTTTTGTTTCAGATCATCAGCACATACACAGAAGCCGTTCAGACTGTAGACCCAAAGCTTGCAGTTGGCAAACTACATACACTTTGGGTTGCATTTGCCAAATTTTATGAAGAGAACAGGCAAATTGATGATGCTCGTGTGGTTTTTGAAAAAGGCACTCATGTGCCTTACAACAAAGTAGATGATTTAGCATCTGTGTGGTGTGAGTGGGCAGAGATGGAGATTCGGCATGAGTAAGTTTCCTGTACCTCATCAGTTGTGTGTGTGTGAATAGTCACAGTCGTTCACGCTTCTAGTATTATGCACACAAACTAGTGCATAACACTTCTCACTGTGTTGAGATATATTAATTACTTACAGCTCTCGTGAGACATGAAAGTGGTAGATCATTCAGAAAAAATGAGATCATGCCCAAAAGATAATATTAGTGATGTTGCGTTCTCTCGTACCATACAGCATGCAATTATTTTATAATAGTGGCTGACAGATAATTATAAATTAGTTGTAAGAACTGCATATGTTTTACATAAATTATTTGTTTTAAGGAATTATGAAGCTGCATTGAAGTTAATGCAGAAGGCAACTGTAATGCCCCCGCACAAGGTGGCATATCATGATGAGACTGAAACGGTACAGATGAGATTGTACAAATCTCTCAAGGTGTGGTCAATGTATGCAGATTTGGAGGAGAGTTTTGGCACTTTTAAGGTAAGTCACTGCTGTAGTTTATTATATTTGAAGATGGCGGTCTTCTGGGTTGTTGCTCTGTGTATTCTGGTTCTTCTGCCAGACTACACAGCGCAACAACCCAGAACACAGCCATCGTCAGACTCGCTGTCATTAAACCTCAAATCCTACTTATTATATTTGACTATAATTTGTACAAGGCTGTACATTGATTTTGTCAGCTGCTCTTGTGAAATTCCAGGGTTCCTGGTGTATATGTTCGGTTGTCCAGATGTGATATACCATTTCTGTTTGCATGGATGAACAAATGTTGACTTATGTTGTTTGACAGGTGATCATATATTTTCCTCCAAAATTATATTTGTATTTAACATGAAATAACTTCCTGTGTTTTAATCATGTTAGTTTATTCTTAAGGGATGTAAATATTGTAAAGATTTTCTGTTAATGCGTAATAGTTTGGATTTATTTTTGTTAAAGTGGTATGGGAATAATTAAGTTGGTAGACATTTCACTACAAATTGGTGTTGGTTGGTTTAATGTGTAGCCAGGGTAGAGGAGACCATACCAAGCTTTCCAGTGTTCTCTTATTTCTTTGTTGCAGTCCTGCAAAGCAGTCTATGACCGCATCATAGACTTAAAAATTTCTACGCCTCAGATTATTATCAACTATGGCCTGTTTCTTGAAGAACATAAATACTTTGAGGAAGCTTTCAGGGTAAGTCTACTCGTGCACATTTGGCATATGTTGTATTTCTTTCATTGCACGCATTTATTGAGCAGTTTTTGACGTGTTTTCAGCGGGAAGTTGCCTTCTGTCCACATCTAACATTTCAAGAACCACTTATTGGATTTTCATGAAATATGATACTAAAATTTCTCAAAACATTACAGTTTTTGTTTAGATCAGACAACGATAATGGAGATTTTACATGTGTTTCTGCATGCATTTGGAGTGTAACATGTTAAATATATTTCAGGATGAAAAGTGATTTGCAGAAGAATTATATATGAAAATAAAATGTTTTATCCTAAATAAATTCCTTTTGTGAGGCTTACAGATTTGACATAATTAAACAAAAGGGATTTGTATGCTGTACCATCTCATAACTTGGAACCACTGGACTTATCACTCATTTCATGTTTGTAGAATGTACCTTGCTTAATGGACGTGCGTTATAATGACTCGACGCAAACCTTTTAGACAATTGTTTGTTATGTTGCAGGCATATGAAAAAGGAATTGCACTATTTAAATGGCCAAATGTATATGATATATGGAACACCTACTTGACCAAGTTCCTGAAACGTTACGGAGGATCAAAACTCGAGAGAGCAAGAGATCTGTTCGAGCAGTGTCTGGAGAATTGTCCACCAAAATTTTCAAAGGGTAAGTCCTTTGCCTAGTTCCTGACTTTGAATTAATGTCTGGGCCGATCGATGAGTCGCTCCCATTTAGAATATGTGGAGCTGTATCTGTATGCACGGTGCTCAGGTACTTAAGAATTTACCTCATGCATTGCAGGTCTTTACTTGCTATATGCAAAGCTGGAAGAAGAACATGGGATGGCAAGACATGCTATGGCCGTCTATGAGCGAGCGACAAAGGCGGTGTTGCCAGAAGAGATGTTTGAGGTAAAGAGGATCATATTGTGTTACTTTCCTTTCTTTATGATATTTATGCTTCTCTAATTGACGACTGACTTTTAAATGGATGAATTTTAGTTTTCACTGAATGTCAGGTACTGAAGTCTATGCTTGGTATTTAGTGGTTTTATTATAATGCTTTTTGTCAAAAGTTCATACAAAAGTAAAACAAGTTTCAAAGCTGTTTTTTTTCCTTTCCTTAGAATAGTGTGTCACCTACATACTGTGAGATTCCAAATTTCAAGTTTATTTCTTAATTCTCTAACTGCATATGTAGAACCTGGTGTTTCATAAGAATTTTCAAGGGTCATACAGATTTCATTAACTCACTGTGTATATAATATAGCAGTTTGAAATATATGAACTGAATTTCTCTTTCATGTGAACAGGTCAGGTGGTTATGATACAACATTTTTAAACTCTGTTGCACAGAGCATGAATGTGCTGCTTCTCTTTGAAATATTACTGATGTATTTCATAACAACCACATATTTTAATGGTAATATTATATATTTTATACCAATATTGCATATATTTCTTTTATTATTGAGGAGGTATATCAAAACACTTGGATAAATCAGTGATGTCTTATAAAAGTATATGCTTGAGAACTTTTTAAAATCTGAATTGTGATCATGAAAATTTCCTGCTCTTTTTCAGCTCTTTAATATTTATATTAAGAAAGCTGCAGAAATTTATGGAGTCCCCAAAACACGGCAGATATATGAAAAGGCAATTGAGGTACTTACAGAGGAAAATTCACGAGAAATGTGCCTGAGGTTTGCTGAGATGGAGACAAAACTTGGTGAAATCGACAGAGCCAGAGCGATCTACGCCCATTGCAGCCAGATGTGTGATCCCAGGGTATGTAACTGTGTGGTCAGTTTTGTTCAGTCACCTGTGATGACTTAAAGGCGAAGATGATTATTGCTGAGTTCCTGAAATTTGTTTTTCAGTTGAATTCACTGTATGAAATATAAAATATGTGCTGAGGTGACATTTTGTTTCTGTTTGTGAATGTAAGTACATGATTTCAGAAGAACTGCTGAATATTACCGTCCATTGCTCAACTTTGTGTACAGTATATTTTTTATATTTAACAACAGGTGACAGCAGACTTTTGGCAGACCTGGAAAGAATTTGAAGTACGACATGGGAATGAGGACACGATGAGAGAGATGCTGAGGATTAAGCGCAGTGTGCAAGCTACATATAACACTCAGGTCAGTGCTGGTGCTGGAAGAAATGAAGATTGTAAGACTTTCACTTCTGCTGCTGTATTGAATCTTGTTGTGCCTTTAAACAGATATTTAAATATAATAGGCGTGGATCAATTCAATTAATCAAAAACCACATAGAACACAAAATCTAATTGAGCATATATTATCATTAATCAAAACAAATACAAAGAATTATAAATGAAATAAACAGAAATATACACTGGTGTGACATCCGCTGGATGATCAACACAATATAATAAGCAAAATGCAGAACTTGCCACAGCAGACGCCTCAACAGGCGGACCATCAGCACAGGGCTGAACACCACGAATCAAAGTAAAATTTAGAAGGGGAAACTGAAACGGAACTTGTCAAAGTGTCTCAGGTGAAATCCTGTACAGAAGTGGTCTTCCAGTTACCAGGCAACACAGTCCGAAGGGGTGGACGGAAAAGGTAAAGAGGTGGGGGAAAGGACCACTGCGCATGGCCAACCGGGCAAGTTCATGAAGATTGTAGTTTCATCAGCCGTAACCTCTTGGCTACGGCTGTCCATGGCACACAGGAAGCTGAAACTCAATACTATTTCCTGAACAGGTGAACATGATGTCTGCACAAATGCTGTCTGCAGCCAGCAATGTATCGGGCACTGTCGCAGATCTCGCACCAGGAGCCAAAGATGGTATGAGAATGTTAGAAGCCAAAGCTGCGCAGATGGCTCATCTGGAGAGACCTGGTAAGGAAAATTTTGACTTTAATACAATTAAAATGAGTTAATATATGTGCATTTACTTTTGTAATTTTGTCACAGTGAGTGAAGTTAAGGGGATGGAGCACATGTTGGAAAATATTATAGGTTTGTGATGCAGCTTTTGAATATTCTGTCTGGAATTTTAGTGGGACCTATTATGACACAGTGACAGTTATGCAACTAGGGCCATGCACTGGGATATTTGGTTAGCAACATCTTGGAAGGTATAAATTAGAAGATAATATTTAAGCAAATTTTGAATTGGATTCATCTGCCCCAGATCTTCATTGTAAGTGATGAGCATCTTGATCCTGTAGTAGAGAATCATTGTCTTAATTCAAATTACAGGAGGGTACCTACTTTTAAGTATGTTACAATATACCATATGCCATTAAAGGACCTAGGTGTCTGTGGGGAAGCACAAAGTCAAGGAAAAAACCAAAGCTAGGACACTTTTTACTTTCTTGTGTTTGAAGATCTCAGCAGCTGTATGTGAATGATTGGTGGAATATTTTGAAAAAAAGTAACAAATTAACACTGACTGATACAGTTTTAAAACAAGGAGTTCCACAGCAGTGAAATGAGATGTAACTCACGAGTCAGCATTTTCGGCTCATTCGCAGGCGGTAATATGATCAAATCTTGCTCAGGTCATATTACCATATGTAATTTCAGGATCCTGGATCTACCATCATGTTATTGATTGCAGGAAATTAAAAAGAGGTTGCTGTGGCCTCTAGTGGGATAACATTCATACCAGATTTCTTGAAAAATAGTCAATTAACAGCATTGTGATCTTATGAACCCCTCCCCTCCCCAAAGAAATAAGATAGGCTTGGAGTAAGTGTGCATCAAGTTTCCACTTTGTTCCAGCATCGCATCTCAATATCATGTCGGTAATTCCCCGTGCTGCTGGTGAGGTGACTTCAGTTTTAACATATGAAAGAAACTTGTTCTGTTTATGTTTGATCTGCAGCTCAGCAGCAAGCTAAAAGTAGCAATATATTGTTTGTGCGTGGGGAGACACAAGGTCAGGACAGAGATGGAACTGAGACAACTCGAGTTGTCAACCCTGATGAGATCAACATCGACTGCGATGATGACGACGAAGCTGAAGAGGACACTGATGATAGTGAGTATATGATGAAGTCTGAATTTAATTATATCAGCTTTAAATTTATAAGATAATGTGTAGGAATTCAGATTTTGCTGTCACATAATTTAGTTGTCATCAACCTCTAATGTGCATCTATTTCCAGATCTTCCAGTACAAAAACAGCCAGTTCCCCAGGAAGTATTTGGAAGTCTGAAGAAATCCCATCATGATGATGACGACGACAACGATGATGATGATTCATAGTGGCACACAGTCACTTCATGCTTAAGTAAATGTAAATAAGGAATGACTATTCATATAGAAATTAAGGAAAATTAATCTCTAAACTGATTGGTATAAATGAATGTAAAGATACAGCGAGTTTTATGGGAACAGACTCTGGTGGAAGAGATGGATTTTCCTCCCATCAAATTATGCTGACCCATAACCATAAGATCAGTTCACAAATGTGCTGTCTACAAAAATAAATTCCATGTATTTATAAGCTTTATAAGTGTTTAATTTCTCCATCTTTCTTTCACACATTGGATGAAAAACTGTGAAACTCAGCAAATGTTAATGACAGAACATGGTGGTCAACGACTTAAATTGTGTAACATTCGTGACACTACTGACACGAGAGCTTGCTGATATTCCATACCTTTTCCAAATTATAAATGATTTCCAGCCTCCGTAGAATGCTAGCAGCAACTCTTTAAAAGCTTTTCAGAATGTGAGTAGAATATTTGCATTTGTGGACTGAAAAGCAAAGTTCGCTCTGTAACAAAGTGCCCTTTCATATGATACCTCTCGGTGCAGTAATAAAGTGTAATGAATTAGAAACTGCATTTGCAGCATTAGACAATGGTTGAGCCTGTGATTTTACTGATGTTGCATCCTTTTGGATTCCACCGAACATTATAAGTTCTCCTTTCCCTGCAATCAGTGTGTAAAGGATTTTTTCTTCTGGACCACCACTCGAAGCATTGTGAAACTTTGGACAAAGCCATTCCACATAGCACCCATCAGTTAAAACATGTGATATATCCAGAACAGACATAGTCATGACATTCTTTGTCATCTGAGATTTGGACTCAGATGGAGATGGTGATATATATACATTATTGCCATATGCTGTGGGGTTAGATCTTGCTGCAGGAGGAATGCTGTTGCCACTGCTGCCACTTCCACTTCTTGACAGACGGCGTATCCTTTCCTCCATGCGTCTTAAGGATTCCAGCTGCCGCCGCCGATTTTCAGACGCACCGGGTTTCATCACTGGTGATGGATCGCGAAATGCTGCCATGCCTATACCACTTGGCCCTGCATTTTCAAGGTCATTAGATGAAGCTGCTGTCAGTGGCTTTGGTGGACAAGTAACCTGATTTATTCTGCCCTGGTCAGGAAGAGGTGGTCGGTGTTCAGGAGAAGGTTGACTGCTGGATGGATCTGGTACTTCACCATCACTTTCTTCCCCACTGCTAGAGCTTGTCGATGTCCCACCCTGCTTGGCACTTC